AAAAAAACACATTATTTTCCACATACTGTACATTATTGTTTATCCTCTATGCCCCGCCTTTTTGAAACACGTCGATTTTTACAAAGCTCATCGGTCTGAAAAAGCGAGGTGTGCTGTGATTGGCCAGCTATCCAATGCGTTGTGATTGACCGAATACCTTGTGTGACGGAAATGTTACGCCCCTCACATACTGTGATGCCGTGTCCGGCTGGAGCGACGAGACAAAAACATTAAAACTCATTACAAACGAGGCATTTGTTGCATCCAGTGGGGATATAATTACTGATTATAATGACTTATACTGTCTTTTTACGCGTTGCGTTGCATTGCATCGCGCTGCGTAAACATAAAACTCTGTCTCCATTTGTGATCGGAGAAATTACAAACAACAAGTGCTACTCTACTGCCCAAAACTCGCGAGGTGTGGCTGACTCTGAACTTTTATAAAGAATATCTCTTTGGATTTGAGACTTTAGTCTTTGCAACTTTACAGATCTTCTTTATGCACCAAGAGCTTGTAACACTTCAAAGAGAAAGGAAAAATTGAAATCGCATCATATGACCCCTTTAAAACGTGTCTCTCCTCTCACTCAAACTGTGTCCTGTGCACTCACAAATCTCTCTGTGCTCATGCACTATAGATATTAATTATTTTCGTACCTGAATTAAATGTTGTCAAAGTTGATCATTATGCACTTTTAAAAAGTAGTCTCAAAACAGATTTGTGCAGGGCCTTTCCTTGATTTTTTTATTGTTGTATTTTTGTTTTAACAAACTGGTTATTGTAGCTACTTTGTTTTACTATATCTCTTTTATCTTTGTATTTTGATACACCTCACAAATGCACTTATGCATCTCTTTGTAAAGTAGGCTATTTGTATACACTGTTTTAAAAGGCGCTATATAAATAAAGCTTTAACCAATCAGACCTCCACAACTGACCGATGAAAATACTACGTGAAATCTAATTGGGTGAATTGAACCTGGAATTCTTTTGACAATCAAAGATAGATCTTTAATTTCTTTCCAGTTTAATAATACTTTGCAATGTTAATGAAATGTGGCCTTTAGAAATGGCTAGGAATTGGGTGCTTGGATGATTTGTACATAACCTCTGTCCAACTGGTTGGTCTCTGAGCAATTTATCTAAAAACAACATATTTTAGCCTATG